CGGTAAGCCCTCGCTAGCACGCCCTCACCCAATCACTCGCCTACCCTAATTAATCGTTTAATCCAGATAATTAACCACTAATCTCTCATTAATAATTAATTAACCCATTTAATCTTTTTATTTAATCTCACTAGCTTAGTAAAGATCATTAATCTTTTATTAATAATCATTTAATTAACTACTACCAATTCTTAATTCACTGTTTTTAAATTAATTATTAATCTTTTATTGTTATAATTAATCAACCTTATTAATTAACCCTTTTTTCACTACCTTTTAATTTAATTTCTCTAATAATTTTTAACTTAGCCATAATCCTTTTTTAAAAGAATAATAATATATTTCGTTTAGTAAAAGTCTATGAGCTGTATTTAATAAAAAAAAACTATTTTATAGTTAGATAACCTTTTTATTATTTCCCATAATAATAATAAGTTTTTTTTTAATGATAAAAAACCTTTTATAAAACCCATTTGATATTTAAAATGACTAAAAAGAATAATAATTCCCCTTTTCTTTAACAGTTTAAATTAACTTCCTATCTTTCATGATAATAACTAAAACTATTTGTTTATTATATTAAAACTTTTATTTAAGCAAAACTAATAAAACTAATATTCACAATTTTACTAAAATACAAATCAACTAAAATTAATCGATTCAACTTTTCTCTAAGATCAACCTCACCAACTTAATTAAACATTCTCCTTAAAATCGAATTCACTTACAATTTTCAAACCAACATAATATCTTCTCATAAATCAATTCATATAATCTATTACAACTTTTTTTTTTCTTAAAAATCAAACATTATAATCCAACTAAATCAATCTCGCCTAAACTCAATCCTCTTAAAATTCGACTTCGCCTAAAATCAATTCAACATCTTAATACAATCGATCATGCACGCTCACACTTCGATTCACAATTCACTCTCACATCCACAATTTACACATTTGTGCACTTAGCGCTTTCATGCGTGTGTATGCTTTATTTCTTTTCGCAATTTACATTACAACAATTTACTTTTCTCACATCACATTCTGTCCAAAGGAAAAACCTACACATGACTTAACACTTGTGTGTAGTGCACATCATTTGCATCATACTCCCTTACGATCCTTGATCCCATTCAAGTCGATCCCTTAAGATAGATCCTACCCCATAAGGAGGACCTTTGTCTTTATCTTTACAATTTAGACAAACACATACAACTCAATTCAAACATTCAAACATTAGAGAATAAGATGTTAATCATCTTAAGCGAGATAGAACCTCCACCTCACATCAATACAGTCAATATGTAGAGACTTTGCCTTAAGAGAGATAGAGGCGTACTTGTCGATCAATATCCGAGTACTTGAGCCCTTCTCTTAAGACGATGCAAAGACTATTTTCCTACAATTTGTGGCGGTTAAATCTCTCTTAAAATGACAACTCACCTTTTCTCCTAAAATCAATCAATCAACTACCCTAAACCCGTAGGAACTTTGACCACGGTCAAAGAACTCCTTAACCCTTTAGGGGAACTATAGATACTCTAATTCCACTCCGGTAAGGATATGTAGGCATAAGATGCGATATCTTATCGAGTATACTTAGAAATAAACCCCCTAGGTCTCTCATCCTTTAAGCAGATAAACCTTAGCAATAAACAAACATAAAACAAGAGGTTCCTGTAGAGTACTACAGAAATTTAGGATGCTAGCACCTTCCCTAAGTTTAACTGACCCCCGAACCTATAACTCTCTAAACCTTGCATTTGCAGTGCATTGTGGGAATTTCGATCTTTATCCCTTCCTTTGGACAAATCAAAGTTCGGTTGTAAAATGAATTAAAGATTCAAACTAATCAATAGTTTGGTATCCGATTTTCACCGTGACAATTACCATAAATATTAGCACTGATTTAGGAAAGGGTACCATGATAAGAATCAATAAAAATGTATGACAATGTTTCAGAAAATTCATTTTGTTTCAGGTAAAAACTGATTGGTCTAGACTGATAATCATTTGTTTCCTTCATCAACCTTAAGAAATTTCAAAATATAACACATGATAATCAATTGGTCAGGAGATGACAATCGATTGTTGCTTATTTGATAACGATTTTTTTGAACAGAAGCTACATGACAAACGATTGGTCATCTATGAAAATCGATTGTTCCATAAGAAAACATGAAGTTTTTCTAATTTAATATATGTTTTTGACTATGAAATATGCACAAATGTTATGAATTACTAAGAAGGGTTTAGATAAAAATGTATGCGAGCACCTAAAGCTTATAAATGATGAATTGCATATTATATATTAGATTAAGTTTGATCTAATTCCTTGAGAAACCATATCTTGACCAAGATCAAACTTGTGACTTCATCAATCTTTTCACCAGCAAGTTTAGTGACTATTCAGTTTAGGGTTTTAAAAAATAGTTGCAGTCGTGTAAAGGCTTTGATGATTTTGGTTGGTATGTATAGGTATTGCTACGTTAATTGTAGTTGTTGCGGTGTGAATTAACTATAATTTACGTTTTAATATAAAAATGGTGATAACGTATTAATATTGACATCTGAAAAACCGTTTTACCGCGATTGTTTTCACAGTTGCAAACCGTTTTTCAAAACTCTGATTCAGTTTCAAAAGGCCCTTTTTATTTGTAACCCTAAACCCTAAAATATATTTCATAGGATATGTACTCATTATCTCGTGAAATTCACTTGCCTAAAATTAGTGACTTAAAATTTTTTGCATGTAAAGCTTAGGATGACATAGTGATTTAAAAGTAAGAAAAACCATAAAAACATCACGAACCTACATGATAGGCAAAAGATAAGATAAGAGAAAAGTAACTAACTCATCGATGACAATTAATTATGTTAAAAATGAGAGAAAAACTCTCCCTTCTCTCTAGGTTTTAGTTTCTTTTCTTTGTTTGGTTTGTATATGTGCTTAGATGGTGCGGTCTAAGGCATCGAGGGGGGATGGGGAGTAAACTAAGGTCTCTAGAAGGAAGAATCAAAGTGAGAGAGCCAAATGGGATTCAACTATTAGAGCTAAGAGGGGTGAAGTGAAGGAGACAACTATTATCTTTATTACTGAGTTTCCAGATTTTATGAAGGCCAAAGACTTGTACAAGCATTTTGAGGTTTATGGAGAGGTTGATGAGGTTGTGATTTCGCTGAAACGAGACAAAAATGATAGAAGGTATGGTTTTATTCGTTTCTTTAACGTGGAGGACGTACGAAGGTTGGTACTACGTTTGGATAACTTATGGTTATAAGGGAGGAAACTTTTTGCCAATTTACCTAGATTTCAAAGGGTTGTGGAGGAAGCGTTTCCTCAGGATAAGTTTATAAGTTCAGGTTCTAGTAGTGTATGCGAAGTTTCTCGGAAGGTGAACTTTCAGGTGAAGCAACATTGGTCTAGTAGTGTCAAGGGACGGTTTGATGGGGAGAAGTCGTATGTAGAGGCTGCTGGTGCTTATGGTATGAAAAATGAAGTTTCAGGTAATTTTAATAGGGAGACCTTTCATGTATCCTTCGGAGCCGGGAAGGAGGAACTTTCTAGGTTCGCAAAGGCTTTTATTGGGAAGGTTCATACACCTGGATCTTCTTATAACATGCAAAGGATGTTTCACTCTAAATGTTATTTTGCGCTAAAAGTTACCCCTATGGGTGCCAACCTTTTCTTATTGGGAGAGTGAAGAAGGTGAACTTGAAGACTTGGTAGAAGGAGCCATGGATTGGCTTAGCCAGTGGTTTGCTGATGTAAGAAGATGGAAGTAGAAAGACATGGATACAACGAGGTTAACATGGCTACGATGTTACGGTGTCCCTTGTCATGTTTGGACGGTTCCATTTTTTGAGTTCTTGTCTTCTATGATTGGAAAGTATGTATGTTGCGACGATAGTGCCTCTGAGCTTTCTAGATTGGACGTGGTGAGCAAGATGGCTATGACTTCTTGTGGCATGTTGATCAATGAAGTTTTCAAAGTCAATGTTAATGGAGGAGTCTTTAGGTCTTGCCACAAAATTGGTGAAGAAACCAGTGTATACAGTTTTCATGTCAGATTCTAAGCATCCCTATGACAGCTCTAGCTGGGGGGACTTTGTGGGTAAGGACTATTTTTTAGAGGAAGAGTTTAAGGGTGTGTCTCGAGGATACAACGTTAGGGAGACTGAACCAGATGAGATTAGAAAAAGTTTGTTTTTGTTTCTTCAGGGAACAGTCAAAGGAAAAGTGCTTATGCAGGTATGTTAAAATCGGGTGATGTGGAATCTAATGTCAATAACCTAAGTAGGGTAGAGGTAGACTTTGGTGATGTTTCTACATCACGTAGGAAAAACAACAGAGAAAGTCAGGTGGGCTCATTCTGAGGAAATTATTCCTAAAAGTTAGTTGTTGGTCTTGGATAAGGAACCTCAGGTGGTTTTTGATGATCTAGTGAAGGCCCAATCTGCCTATTTCCTTGCTTCTAATGCAGGCCATAGACGCAAGGAGAAGTCTAAAAAGAAGCTGGGTATTTCTCCTTGTTCTCCAGCCTCTGACCCAATTGAAAGTAGTGTACACACAAATCCTTTAGTGGGGAAAAACAGCCATGTAGAACTTTGTTCCCTTGAGCAATTTTCTATTTCTTTGGCCAAGAAGAACAAGTATCAAGATGATGGTGCAGGATGTTGTTCTCCTCCTACGGGCGTTAATTCCAGAAGTCAAGCCACTACATCTATTGCACTAACTAAGGTATCGAAAGGTGTCATTGAAAGATCTGTAGATTCTTTGGCAAGGTGTCACTCGGTTACGGATTCAGAAGTCTTCCAAGGGAACAAGAGGTTTTGGGCGGAAATGGAGTCGAAGGTGTCTATTAAGGTTAGGGAGATCATTTCTAATTTGGGGATTTAAGTAGTAAGTGGTGTTGGGAAGTTAGAGGAAGAAGTCAGAATATTGGAAAGTAGAGATAGAGAGGGGAACGCTACAAGGGTGAATTCAAAAAATGTTGCTCCATGAATATCCTTTCAATCAACATTAGAGGGGGTGGCAGTATTGTAAAGAGAAAGAGATTAGCACATTTAATTCAATCTGGTAAGGTGGACATTTTCTTTGTTCAAGAGACTAAGCTTTCTGGGGTGGATCTGAAGATGACAGTGTCTTTGTGGGGGGGGGGGGGGGATGATAGTGTTGAATGGAATGAAGCTGGATCAGTTGGTGCTTCAGGTAGGATCATTATTTTGTGGAGGAAGGAATTACTTAAGCTCTTGTTTAGTTTCAGAGGCATTGACTTTGTGGGGGTTAACGCAGAGTAGAGAGGTAAGGATTTGTTTTTTGTTAATGTTTATTCGCCTTGTATTTTGTCGATGAAGAGAAGATTATGGAGTGAGTTGTCTCTAAAGGAGAAGAGTTTCAAAAGGGGTAGTTAGGTGGTGGGAGGTGATTTTAACGCAATTACTTGCGATTTAGAGAGGAAATGAGTGACTTTTGGGATTCATACAAGGGAGATGTTGGAGTTCAGGGGATTCATCAAAGATTTGGAATGCATAGATGTGCCTTGCATGGGGGGCCCTTTACTTAGTTCAGTGGGTCGGGTTCGTTGATGAGTACGCTGGATTATTTTCTGTTGTCTGATTATTTGATAGTGTATTGGAAGATAGTGTGCCAAATCGTTGGGAAGAGAGATATCTTGGACCACTGTCCGATCTGGTTGAAATCTAGAAACAAAAATTGGGGCCTGAAACCTTTTAAATTCAACAAGGTTTGGTTTGAGCATCCTCTCTTTTTGGAGTTTGTTAAGAAGGAATGGTGTCTTTTACTGTTAAGGGAAGAGGGAATTTCTTTTTTAAATAGAAACTTATATTGTTAAAGTCTATTTTGAGAAGGTGGAGTGTGGAGGTTTTCGGATGGATTGACTTGAGAGTGGATGAAACAATTGAGGAATTGTTCGATCTTGAATCTCTGGTCAGTAGAGGTGGTCAAACTGTCATGCATGATGTTATCTTAGCAAGGGCAGCTGCATCTTCAAAACTTTGGAGGCATTGGAGTGGAAGGAAAGCCTTCTTAGACAAAAGTCGAGAATGCTTTGGCTCAAGGAGGGTGATAGAAATTCGAGCTTCTTTGATATAATCATTAAGGTTCGTCAAAGGATAAATTTCATTTCTTTTGTCAAAACGATTGATGGTAGGGTGGAGAAGGTGGAGGATATCAAGAGAGAAGTTCAAAGTCATTTCCTGCGTAACTTCAAAGAGTTGAATAGTAATAGACAAGTTTTGGATGGTGTTTCGTTGTCAAAACTTGCGGATTTGGATATTTCAAGATCTGAGGCCCATTTCTCATATAAAGAGATTAAGGAAGCTATGTGGTGTTGTAATGGAAGCAAGAGTCCGGGTCCCGAAGATTTTGGTTTCTGTTTTTTGTAGGGCTACTGGGATTTTATCAAGGATGAATGTAGTTAAGTTTATTTCAGACTTCTACAGCAATCCAACTCTTTCAAAGGCTGTCACGGTATCTTTTATCACCTTAGTCCCAAAGTCTAAAAATCCACAGAGCCTGAACCAGTACAGACCGATCTATTTGGTTAGTTGCCTTCAAAAGATTTTGTCCAAAACTTGGGCGTCCCATTTGAAGAATTGTATTGGGTCTTTAATTTTTTTAGAAAATTTGACATTCGTTTTGGGAAGAAGTATATCTGGCAGTGCTTTGGTGGTTAATGAAATTATGGATATGGCAAGAAGAGAAAAGAGAGATTGTATGGTTTTGAAGCTTGACTTTTATAGGGCTTATGATTGCATGAGTTAGGATTACCTGAGGTTTTTACTGTCGAATATGAACTTTGGGAAGAGATGGATCAGGTGGATGGAGTCTTTAGTTTTTAAAGGTTCAACATCAATCTTGGTCAACAGGAGTGCGACAATGGATTTCGAAGTGGGTAAGGGATTATGTCAAGGGGATCCTTTGTCCCCTTTTCTGTTCCTCTTGGTTATGGAAGGACTTATGATGCTGGCTAATAAAGCAGTAAGATGTCTTTGTACGAAGGATTCCAAGTGAACGAAGGTGTGAGCTATAATGTCATCCATTTTGCTGATGATACTATTTTGGTTGGGAGCGATATCTCAAAGAACCTTTGGTGCATTAAAGCTTTTCTTAGAGGCTTCGAACTAATATCAGGTTTAAAAATAAATTTTTACAAGAGCAGCATTGCAGGTGTGAATTTTTCTGCTGGTTTTTTGGACTCTACAATAGATTTTCTGCACTGTACCATTGGCAAACTTCCTTTTATATTCTTGGGGATTATGGTGGGGGACAGTCCTAGGAAGATTAAGATGTGGAGTCATGTTGTATATGCCTAGAAGCCCTTAAGTGGGTGGCCATCATCTTGACAACTTCCTCTTGATCGAGCCTTTCGTGTCCTAGTAATTTTCCCATGATGGGAAGATGCAGGAGGTATGAGAAGTCATCCAAGGTGATGATCATCTCGCTATAGGAAGGTGAAAAGAGGAAGTCTCTGAATGCCACCTCTCTACAAATGTCACATGCATGCTGTGGTTTATAGTCATGTACGCAACAGAGCAAAAATTGGTAAGACTAGAATATCATATAATCCCAGAACCAATCAACAATGAGATATTCCAACTCCAATATCTTTCTGTCGTGGTTTATTGATTTCAAACATGGACATTCCTGTAAAAAACCAAATCACCACCAATGTCAATTTAATTAGTTTAAAACATGTTTATTGCAAACGAAAACAAATATACCTCTCCTTCCCAAACATGCCTATCAGCATCATATGCATAGAGATAAAGTAAGGAGGTGTTAAATGGGCATCCTGGATAATACTCTAAAGAGGGATCAATAATGATTTCCTCCTTGGCTTTAGGGGCTTGAGGCGATGATGTATCATCTAGGGAATCATGGAGGCACGAAGTAGAGGTCTGAGATAGGCGTCTACGAGAAGCATAACCATATGATTGGGAACGTCAACATTGTGAACCATCAAATGAGGTTTCATCAACTCGTGGCCTCACGGTCTTGCCAGAAGCCCTCTCACATTGTACAAACGTGGTTAAGGGCACACAACATAGCCTAATTCCGCTAGAGTTATTTTCAGCTATTGCACATGTATTATAAACAGACAGTCACATCAAAAACTCAACCAAATTTAATCCTGAGACAAATCCGAAGATACATCTCCAAAAATAGCACAGAGAAAATCCAAAGATGCATCTTCGAAAAAAGTTGCGATTTTCTCACCCATGGTAGAAAAGTCGTTGCTACCCTAACCCTCAAAACAAATGTCAATGCATGTCCATGTAGGATACCTATTTCGATTTCACTACTATCTCATGTAGCTTAAACAACTAAGTATAAACTAAAACATAAAAAAATTAAGAATTTTAAAAAACTTAGCAAATCAAATGAATAAGAAAGAGAAGCTTGAACAAATGAAATGCTTGAGAGGATGAGAAAGATCTCCAATCATAGAAGGTTGAATGGATGCGAGACCTCGAATGGTATTGTTTGAGTACTTTTTATAAAATTAAGAAGGAAGAAGAGGGAAGGTTTTGGCACGAGCATATGAAAGAAAAGTGTTTGGAGATCCATCTCCGGACCACCCACTAAATTTTAAAGTAACGGTGTTTACGGAGATGCATCTTCGAATTCAATTTTTATGCATAGGGAGATGCATCTCTGAATTAAATTTTGGCATAATAGAGTGCCTCATCAATTTTCTCTGAGGAATGACTAAAAAAAGGTGCGTACGGAGATGCATCTCCAGATGCTAGGGGTAGTTGTGACTTTTCACGGTGGTAGGTGAACATTCCTAAAGGTGGAAAAGGTAATCCTCTAAGTGAAAATCCCAGTAAATATAATGACACCTTCCATAGTGACGTCAAATTGGCGACGTAAATGAAAATACCATATCCACAACTATAGATCAAAAGAAGGAGTTTGATCTCAGAAACAGAGCTTGGACTTGACTAAGGATAACACATGATTCAAGAAAATGATTAAAGAATATCAAAGAAGCACTTTTATAAGACTTAATAAATTAAATTATGGCATGTCTATTTGGACAATGATTTTACCTCATAAAATTTTAAGCCTTATGAAACCTTAGAAATTCCCTATATAAAAGGTCGAATACATCAAATCAAGGTACACATAATTGTTTAACCTAAATATGTCTCACATCCGATAGTTATTGACTTGAGCTTCAGAGTGCTTGCAAGTACCACCACTTCTATTCATACCAAAGAACTACATAGAACATTTCCTCCTATAGATGTCAATATATGACTTACATCAAAATAAAGTAAATGATTCCTTATTGCAAGGAACACTGACGCCATTTGTGGATAAAAATTAGCATTCTACCACCTACTCAAATGTTACAGTGACAAATTTGAAAAAAAAAACAACTCATAACTCTAATTTCTCATGATCTATTGCTAGAGAATCTGTGACGAGAAACCAAAACCCTAAAGATAGACTCACGACATCCTCTTGAAACTCGAAGAATCAAATCCAAACTCCACCAACTATTGAGACAATATTTGTCCCTCCGTTGAACACTAAACTCCAGCACTAGTGAAAGAAAAATTAGATCCATGCTAAGAGAGGAGAAATAACGAACCTCAGATCTTCACACCAGTGGACCAAATAAAAAGCATTGAAATAAACAACTTGCTGATAAGTGATTTTTATATCATTTTTATTAGTTATTTTTCCTTCATATTTTACCGTTTTAGTTTGCTTTACTTTCATTTTACCATATTTTATGCTTTGGTATTGTTATGTTTACTTTGTTTTCAGGTCATAATATGCATTTCAAGCGAAAGAGGGATGAAAAGTGGTGTCACACCCTATTTTCTCCCTAGCCCTTTATATCATACATCCATCATATCATCGTTATATCATGGTGCATGTCAAGCATGTGGGTTTGCAAGGAAAAGACATGGAAGGTATTTTTGTTTCAAGGTAAGGAATGGATTGGTTCAGTGTTCATTGATATAATTCATATGAGAACTTGACCTAATCTGGGTTAATAGTGAAAGGCTGTTGTGCACTCTTACTGGTAACTTCTTGTCATGGACAAATGTTATTTGGAATTTCTCAAGTGGTTAGGCTTTGTGTTTAATTAAGGAATTGGTCCAATACAAGATTCCTATAGGTGGTCACAAGACCAAGATTGGTTCATTTGGTCATTCCATCTCATAAATGAATGTCTACAACCCTAAAGGGTGAGCATTATGGTTCATGTTTAGATCATTCAAGGAAGGTTTTAAACCACCTATTCATGCTTCAAGACTTTTCTTTTAAGATCAAGTTGGGTTTATTGAATATGAAACCGAGTTCTTTCTTTTTAACTTGATTTTATTGAGAAGAGTTTCCAAGTACATGTGTCACCTTGAATTTTGGATCCAATTCAAGGAAAGGTTGTACTCTTGTCATCATCTTGAAATAAGGCCATTCATTAAGCTTGCATATAATTATAAATTTGGCATTGAGAAACAAAAGAAGTGTCAAGAAATGGATTAAGTAAAATTTTTAGCTTTGCAAATACAACTTGTTTTTAAATCCATAAGTGGACATGCTACAAAATACAATGGGAATAATCCATCTTACTTCAAAGCTCATTTGAAACCACATTTGGTACGTATTTTAAAGCAAACTCAAAGTTGCTTTGATACAAGATTGAAATTTGTGGATCTCATTTTGAACAAAACACTAATGTTACAAGAGTTACAAGCCTTGATTAAACTTAAGCCTAAGAAATCACAAGAAGGGACAAGAACTTAAGATTTTGTGCTTCATATGCTTTGTCAATGCTCCAAGATCTTTGTGTTTAGACTTGCCACCCATTGCTCTAGCCAAACCAAATTGCTCCCATTCTTAAGCCAAATCATGCTTTCCCTACAAGATTAACCAAATTCATCAATTCAACAATCATCATGTCACATTCATTCACCAATCCAAACCGAACCAACACCATCCATAATTCAAGAATCAATTCCATACCAATGTCATATCAATTCACCATAGGCATTCAAAATTCATTCAACCATATCAATTCAATCCATCACATTCAAATTCTCAAAATTAATTCATACCAAAACAATTCA